ATTAGGTCATGCAGTGCTTACTGTAGTCCAGAATGTCTTGAGGCAACCAGCTGGCTGACGTTGGGCTGAATCTTCTGCCTCCAGCATTGAGTGGGATGGAAATTCTGTGTATGACACTGAAGTTCAAAATATCCCCAAGGATCTGGGTGCATCACCCTGATTCCCTGACCCAGCTGGGCCTCCTGGCTTGAATAACAATTATGACCTCCCACTGCCCTGTTTTGCATTAATTTGTGTCTGGAGACTGACACCTGCAGTAAGCAGTTATCAAAGGTCTTTTTTATCTGCTTTCAGCACCATCTGCTAATATTTGCTATCTGGAAAGATCCCAGCGCTGGGAATCTTTTCAAAACAAGCCTCTGGCCAGAATAAAAGATGTAAAACCCACTCAAGCCTCTGGCCAGAATAAAAGATGTTAAACCCACTCATGTCCCAGCCAAATGGCTCCTTAATGGCTACTTTTTTTTTTTTTTTTGTTCTGGTAGAGGACTTGCAACTGATACTGGTAGTTTTTCAAGCTCTTTTGGGCCAACTGGCTACTTAATAAATGAGCTACTTTTTAAACAGAAAAATTAACCTTTTGTAATGTAATTAAAGACATTAAACTTTCTCTGTCCTCTCATTTCTGTGCAGGATAACGTGCCCCCTGCTACATTTCTGCTTTTAAGAGGAACAAGCAGAGATTACTTTAAAAAAAAAAAAAACAGACTTTCAGATTTATTGCATGGTGTTGGTTTGTTGACTTTAAATCTTGTAACGTAGCGCCAGCTCTGAAGGCTGGGAGAAGACTTAGAACATATCTCACCCTTGGCATTATTCCTGTTCCTGCTTTCTTACTTCTCCTACTAGGTTTTATCTGTCCAGAAAGCAGTCCTATCACAAATGAAGATGCTCAGGCATCTGTCTCATCATAGGTAATTGCCCACCCAGTTTTTCTTTATGCTGGAGGAACCACATCATGGCTTATCTTTTCCCTTCTACTGCTTTGAGGTGGGGTGGGGTGGGGTGGGAACCACAACCTTGCCTTGTGCATAACCATTTTAAATAAATAAATAAATAAATAAATAAATAAATAACCCCCTTCCAAACTATGCATTGTCCTGGTTCATGCATTGCATGAGTTATGGTTCATTTAATTAGGCTTCATTAAATAAGACTTATTGCTATGGTGCACACATAATGCTATGCCGTAAATCATGGCTTACAGACCATAATGGCTTGCTTTGCAATACAGGCTACGTCCAACCAAATACACCTTAGGGCAGGTTAGTGCAATTGTGAACCTGGCCATTGTAGGTTTTCCTCTTAGACAAGTGGTAGTAGAAGCAAGGAAATGGAATCACCACAGACAGGAGTTTCTAGGCGTTAGCGATAGGGCTCCTCCCAGCCTCCTCACGAGGCTGACCCCTGGCCTGCCCTCACTCAGCTTCCCCATGTTGAGCAGCAAGGTCTATGGGAGGAGTTGGCCTTCTCTGCACATCTCCTAAAACATAGGTCAAAATTTCACATGATTGGGAAGCTCAGTTAACTCCTACAAATGACACAGTTTGCATTCAAGTCAACAGGGTGGAAAGATTCTTGCTGAATGATCTGGGAATGCAAGGAATTTAAAGATATGGGACTCAGGGTGAGATCAGAGGCCTGGCAAATGCAAACATGTGAAGGCACTCTCATAATGGCTTCTGCACATGATCCTCTGCCATATTTGGGCATTGTCCCTCAAAACAGATTCTCTCTATTGAGTGTCCTGTACAACTATGGCCCTCCTAGAACATTAAAGGAAAGAAAAAGGCTGTCTGATGATAGTCACCTCCCAGGAGGTGGTAATAACAAGGCAGCATTTTCCAGACAGGCTCAAAGGCACTTGCTGTATTTCCGCATAACTGTGGAATTAGGAGCTTACTAATATGGCCAGCTGACAGTAGGCGAAGTTCTAACATTTGCCTTGGCACTGGGAGATGATAAATAGTTGAATTTGTGTTTTCCATTGTAAGGAAGAGACTTTCTCTTCCTCCCCCTCTAACTCCAAAGTCAAACAGGCTGAAAATCTATGTTCTGCCTTCAGCTGAAGAACCTAGTTTGCCCAAGGACAGTAGCAGTGTCCTTTTCACACAGCTGCTTATGTAATTCAAAAGCTGGCTGGTTCTGTTTGGAGCAGGTCGCCACCCCTTCGAGGGCTTGAGCTTCCATATCTTGAGTGGTTTCTCCATGGACACATCTTTACGTTGAGATAAATCTTCACAGAATCTCTTCAACGCTTCCTGTAACTGGGAAATATGGAGTTCTACTTCCTAACATCTTACGAAGGGGCCAGGTTAGGAAAAAGTGGTCCAGCTCAAAGTTGGGTTTGGAAAACACACACAACTAGGCTAAAGCATGGTTGTGTAGTTTATGTCCAGTGTATATTAGAAACTCAGCCATTGTCTCAGTTTGTTGTAAGAACAGACCATCATCTTAAGCCATAATGTGGTATATTTGTTTGGAGTTGTGTGTTATGGAAACACAAGAATTTTGTTTTGTTAACCCACTTTAAGGTTTAGCATGTTGTCAGAACTTAGCCTACGGGTGATCAACCTGCAGTAACCAAACCAATCTGGGTGGGTGACTGGCAACAAAAGAAAACTACCCCCTCCTTTAATTATGGCACCAAGGCAGGTCTGTACTGCAGTCTGAGACTCCAAATCTGCACTTTTCCTCTGTAGGAGTCCAAACTCTTCATAGCTATGTGCTTTATGCTATTCAAAGATGCTGTCCAGTATTTTTGGCCTTGTCTTGTCTGGTATAATTGTTAAAAAGAGGTTGAGCACTATTTGTATTTAAAATACCACAGAAGTGTTTATTGCAATGGCACATAATCGTTTCACCTATCTGCACAGAGATTATTTCAAGGTAAGCCAACAGCACCAGAAACTGGGCAACTGTGGACATTGTGCTTTAGAGTAATCCTCACGTCTTGCCGGAGCATACTTGGTGGAATAGGATGAAAAAGCTGCGGAAAAGTTGGTACGCTAATTAGTTTCAACTTAATTTATATCATTAGCATTCCAATTTGTCTAAAGTATTCATCATCCTGTTTCTATCATGGTTAGAAGTCCTGTGCCTTTGACCTACAGCTCTTCCTTTTCTAACCTGATATTTTCTAGACGTGTTGGCACTGAAACTCTCAGACTTTGCAGCTAGCGTGTTATGTATGTTTGCAGTTCTTGCAGGCGTGATGCCAAAAGATCTGAAAGGCCCTAGGTTGGGGAAAGATGGTAGAACTCTCTCCCCTGCACGATGCAATTATGGGTATCCCTTTCCATCTCTCACCTGGCCTATCATGGCTTCTGCCTTGACCTCCAGTTTTGACAGCTATTCTTGAAAAGAGAAATGATACTAATCATCCAAACCATGAATTAGTTGGAGGTGCAAGGAACATTTGGAAAATTTGGGTCAAAGGTGATTCTTGAGTCCAGGTTCCTTGTTACTATGGATGTAGAACTTTTAGCTCTGTGTTAAGCTGTGTTCAGTTTGAGGAAATGTGTTCTCATATATCAAGCCAACTGTGCCTTTGAGTCACAAAGGGCTCATGGCACAATTTCAAAAGCTCTTTGCAAGTAATGACTTCATACTTTTGGAGGAAAGCAACTTATCTGTTCTGCGGTAGCCTGTTTTGTAAGGGCTGAGGGAGAGGAAATATCAGAAAGGGGGAGAGAGGGAATAAAAGGGATGCAAAGGAAAGGGGAGAAAGCATGCCAAAGGAGAGAAAAAAGAGTGATCTTACCTACTTTTCTTCATGATGCCACTCAGTGTTGACATGATTCAGCCCCCAAACCAATTACTCCTGTAGGTACATAGAAATCGGCAGGAAAAAAAAGGTGCCTTTCACTAAGATTTTCTTTAAAACTTCTCCTCTGGACGCCTTGACTATCTGATGGAGGACAGGAGGGGAAGAAGGTGTTCTCTACCAGGGTAACCAATTTATGGAGGACCATTGAGGATTCTTCCGTTTTTTGTTCCAAAGTCTTTAAACTCTGGAGTATTTCTCCTTCTGCTCTGATGGGTTATTTTATGGTTATGCTTTATCCACTGATGTTTGAGTTATATTTGATGAGCTCTTGAAAAATGTCCTGAATATGTTTATTTGGAGACTAATATGTGTGTGCGCGCGCACACACGCTCTCTCTCTCTCTCTGTATGTATGTATAT